CAAATTCCAGCTTTAATTAAACCAAGAGCTCCCCAGCAGCAAAGAACCGACTTCCAGAGCTGCTTCAGGTGCCTCAGAATGAGCTTCAGGTCCCGTCTTCGAGGAGCCAGGAGGTTTCAGGCCAGGCTTTGCAAAGAGGTGGGGATGACCCTGGAAAAGGAACGTGGCCATTGCGGCATTCCTCGGCACTCGGATCACAGAACGATGATTTGGGGTTGGAAAGGACCTTAGAAATCATCCAGTCCCAATCTGGTGATCTCCCACATCTCCCACTCTCCCAGGTTGCTCCAAACCCCGTCCAACCTGGCCTTGAACACCTGCAGGGGTTGGAGCAGCACCTGGAGGAGATGTCACAATGTCCCCTGCTTTCCCCCTGTGCCTCCTCCAACATCACCACACTCAACACTGAAATCTCTCTCCAGCTCTACCTGGGACAAAGGCAAAACCAATCCAAGTGCAGCAGGGACTGTCCTGTCCCATCCCCAGGATCACCAGGGACAGGCTCAGCTGTTCCAGTCACAGTGGGGATGAGTTTATTGAGCTTGGCCAGAGTTCTGCTCCAGAGATTTGATTTGGCAGCCCAGAGAAGTTGCTGAAGACACAAAATTACCAGAAACCAGCAGGATTCTGCAGGTAATGAATGACCCACAGGACTCAGGGCTGAGATAATCAGGGTAACCTAAATACAGCCTTCCAGGACCTGAAGGAGACCACAAAAACGATGGAGAGAGATTATTTGCAAAGGCCTGGAATGACAGGACAAAGGGAAATGGCTTCACACTGACAGAGGAGAGGGTTAGATGGGATATTGGGAAGGAATTCCTCCCTGTCAGGGTGGGGAGGCCCTGTTTTTTTAGGCTTTTTTAGTCTTTTTAGTACTTAATTTAAATGCATTTAGCATTTAAGTACTTAAATGAAGTGTCCAAGGCCAGGTTGGACACTGGGGCTTGGAGCAGCCTGGGATGGTGGAAGGTGTCCCTGCCCATGGCAGAGGGTGGGACTGGGTGGGATTTAAGGTCCCTTCCCATTCTGGGATTCTGTGACTTGTGCAGGCATTCAAATTTGATGCTCAATCACACACAGAGGTTTATTTAACACTGATATTTCCCCTTCGTGTTCTCTGCACCATGACTGATCAGGGTGCTCCATCCCTTTCAGTGATTTATCGGGGCAATAACCGGAGTTATCGAGCAGTTGGCTGAAACTATTCAGTCCCTGATTATCTTCTACTTATTGTGCAAAATGTGAAAGGGAATCTCTCTTCATCCTTCTCTGCTTGACTCCTGCATCCAGCACTACACGCCTTCAAAAACCGGCGGGTTTCAGCCGAACAGAAACAAAAGGATTTGCATCATAAAAAGAGGGAAAAAAAAGAGAAAAAAGCGCCAACAGAATGGGTTCGCCAAGCCATGAAAAGAGAAATGTTTTTGTGGAGAACATGGAAGCTCAGCCCCGACTCTCTTCCCACCTTCCCTGGCTCTGCCACTGAAAGCAGCGGGATTTCTCCGGGCGTTTGGCACACTCGGGTCTCTCCTCCTCCTCCTCCTCCTCCTCCCTCCTTATCTAACTCCCCGCAGGAGCTGCTGCCGTTGCCGGGGCGATGTGAATCACCGCCCGTGGCAGCGCTGCCTCGCTATTTCCCTCGAGCAGGAGCCCCAAAGGTTCCCTCGGTCCCTTCTTCCCCCTCATTGAGATGCAACAGCTGGATCTGAGCTCTGAACCAGCCATTCCAGCCCTGCGGAGACTCCGTTATTGTCGGGAATTGTCCAAATTGAATTGGAAATGGTCCAAAAAGTAAAGCCGAGAAAGACCCTCCAGAGCCTGCAGGGATTCCCGTGAGGAGCAGCTCGGGGAGCCTGGAGCAAAGGAGGCTCAGGGGGAATTTCTGGCTCTGCACAGGTCCCTGACAGCCAGGGGGGTCGGGATTTCTCCCAGGGAACAGCGACAGGAGAACAGGGAACGGCCTCAGGCTGGGCCAGGGGAGGCTCAGGGTGGAGAGCAGCAGGAATTTCCCCATGGAAAGGAGGTCAGGGCTTGGAAGTGCCCAGGGAGGTTTGGAGTGCCCATCCCTGGAGGTGCCCAAGGAGGTGGAGGTGGGGATTTGGCACAGCTGGAATTCCATGGGCTGGGAGAGCTTTTCCAACCTCAATCATTCCATGATTCTTTGGAAAAGCAAAGCCTGGAGCTGCTGTGCTGAGCAGAGCCTGCGTGTCCGAGCTCACGGGTCACTGCTGTGCCACAGACAGAGCCTGACCGCCAGGGAAAGGATTTACTGGGCCACTTGTAACAGGACAGGAAAGGAAAAACAGCCCAAGAGATAAGTAAAACATTAGTGAAACATTAGTGGCAGAAAACAAAACCAACCAAACAAAAAAGCCCCAAAAAACAACAACAACAACAAAACCAACAAAACCCCCCCCAATTCCCAAATCAATGCAATAAACACACACACACAAACCCCCAAACCCTAAAAATCCCAAAGCACCCCAAGTGCTGCTGAGCTGCTCAGCTCCTCCAGCTTCTCCCCAGCAGCAACACAAACCCTGCGGTAGCTCAGAGCAGAACAGGAATTCATCTGCTCCTGGTGACTCATCCCAAAAGGACTCAGCAGCCACGTGGGGACATCCCAAAGCTCTTGGAAAAAAACAATTAGCAGCGTTCCCAAAATAACCCAGAGGAGCCTGGAGGCCTTGGAAGGGACATCGAGCACGATGGGGATGGGAAGGGGAAGGTGAGACCTTCAGCACATCCCCAGGACATGTTGGAGTCTGGGATTCAGAGTGTGTGCCCTTGCTTCTGGTACTTAAAGACCCAGAGAAACACTGAATTTCATGTAACATGAAATTCATGAGCGTGTTTTCATGGTGATACATGGGAACAACTGTTAAAGTTAGATAGAAAAAGCTAAAAGTGTGTGTGGATTAAAGAGTTTTCTTAAATCACGGCGTGAAATAGTTTAGAGAACAGGAGATGAGATGGAGCATTTAGGGTGCTGTCTCTTGTCCCTTCTGCTTTCTTCTTCATGTTCTTCTCCTAGAAGTTTTTGGGTGATAGTGAGTGATGGGACAGAAAATTCTGCAGTGCAGCACAGAGGTGATGGGTCATTAAGTCATTAAGGAAAATAATACATGTGTCTATTGTTAATTGGGAAAAAATAAGAATAAAGATAAAAGAACTGTGTATTTCAGGGCCATTTGGTGCATCAGACACAGGGTGAGCCACAAGGCCTTGTTTGTGCCATCAGAAAAAAGAAATGTACCAGATTACAAAGATTAACCTTGTGTAGCCAGCCTGGAGAGACCTGACAAGTTTTGTGATGACCTTTTAATAAATAAACACGAGAAACAAGATTCTAACGAGCTCGGGAGTTTTCTTCAAATCACAAGAACTGAGATAAGCAGAGCTCCCCACCAGGGAGGAGCCCAGAAGAATTCAGTCCAAAGGAGGCTGAGAAATCCAAGAAGAGACAGAAAAATACAGAAGAGTTGCAGCAGGAACAGAGGAACAGAAAAAAGAGTTTTTAAAGAAGAGTTACAGGACACACTGATTTCAGTGGGACCCACCTGAGCCCTGAAAAGAATAAAAACCCATTTTATGTAACCTCGATTTTTATAAAAATTTCAGGAATGCAGCTTTTCATGGGCAGCTCCTCAGCTTGGTGTTTGTGCCTGAGAGAATATTTAATATAGAGACACCAAAATCACAGAGTTCAGACCTGTCCTTCCTGGTAATGAGGGGAACAAACAGCATCTCAAAAATGCAAAATGCACCAAGTGCGTCCCAGCACGATGCTGCTCCAAGGAGGAATTAAAAAGATGAGATCCAGGCATTAAAATCTCCTCAAAACGTCCCAAGGAGGAATTAAAAAGATGAGATCCAGGCATTAAAATCTCCTCAGGATGCCCAGGGATGTGTCAGTCCCACCTGGGATGGGAATTCAGAACTCTGCAAGGAAGCAGGAAAATGAAAATGAAAATAATGAACATGAAGAAGAATTCAGAAATGAAAATAATGAAAATGAAAATAATGAAAATTAAAATGAAAATTAAAATGAAAATGAAAAGTGTTGCCTCATGTCACAGGACAAAACCTGAGCTGAAACTTTCAAATAATATTTTTTTTTCTTATATAACAGCAAAATATCAGAGCTGGTGGGGGAAAAAAGTTTGGGAATAGTGGGGGGAAAGAGCCTTTACACAAAAAAGGCACAACCCAGGGGGAAAATTCCAGCGTTCAACCCCACTGATTGCTCCAGGCACAATCAGTGTCCTGGCCACAAACAATCCACAGTTTTTTGGGTTTTTTTAAAATTATTTCTGATATTTTTTGCAGAGAATATCTGTATTTCTAAATAACTCAAATATTGAGCCCACATGAGGACTCTAGAGGAGAATTATTTCACTTTTCCTGATGTTCTCTGCACTTGAATAGCTGGAATACAGGAGAGGAATAAAAGAAAGACAACCCACTCCAAAACCTTATGGCAAAGAGGATAAAAAGATGAAAATCATCTTAAGGAAATTCTTTCCTTTTTATCCCTTCTCAGTCATCCCAAGGTGATATTTTCCCCATCCTGAGCTTTGGCAATGCTTCAGAGGAGTTGTATTTCTATATTTCTAAGATATTTTCTATATTTCTAGGGTATTTTCTATATTTCTAGAGTATTTTCTTTATTTCTAGAATATTTTCTATATTTCTAGGGTATTTTTATATTTCTAGAGTATTTTCTATATTTCTAGAGTATTTTCTATATTTCTAGGGTATTTCTATATTTCTAGGGTATTTTCTATATTTCTAGTGTATTTTCTTTATTTCTAGTGTATTTTCTTTATTTCTAGTGTATTTTTCGTATTTCTAGAGTATTTTCTATATTTCTAGTATATTTTCTGTATTTCTAGGGTTTGTTCTGTAGAATCATAAGAGGCTGGAACCACGCAGAGAAAAACAACACAGCTGGAAAATGTTCATATTTCAACAATTTAGCACCAGACTCACAGAATTTTTAGGCTTTGCACCACTTAAATGCCACGAACCAACTCTTTTTTTCCACACAAAGGAAGCATATCCCAAATTTACAAGCACACCACGAACTTCCCTCCTTCAGCACCCCCAGGCTGAACAACCCCACCACAGATTGACACATCCAATGCAAAGGTTTGTATTAAAAATTATATATATTGTGTCAAATAAAACAAACGTTCTGTGTACAAATTTATACGTGACAAAAAATAAAACTCTTTGAATAACACTGTGTAAAAAAAAAAAACAAACAAAAAGTGCTGGCTGCTGTTCTGCTCTACGAGTTCTAGAAGCAACAGGCTCACCAAAGGCATTAGTAAACACCTAAACTGCACTGCAGGACTCAGGTAAGGCACAGAATTCAGTTTTTTAGGGGTGGAAATATTCCTGTACAGCGTTCAGCACCTCTGCCAGGCTCCTTTAGCTGAGAGCTGATGGAGATTTTAAGGAAAAACACTGGAAAATGCATCATCACCATCAGGCCCTGGCTCTGAAACACCTGAGCAGCCCCAAAAATGCTTTGGAGCCACTTTTTAGCTCATTCCTCCTCCTCTTCCTCAGTCTTTGGCCAGGTGGAGATTTTAACTGAGTTTTAGACAGCTTTTAATCCAACAATGAGAAATCAGTGAAGGGACACACGTGGCTGCTCACACAGGAACGTGGAAGAGTCTGAAATTCTCAACAATCTCAATTCTCAGCCTTTTCCAAGCCCATCTTGGGATTCTGTGATTGCTGCCAGAGCAGAGTAGCACTGGGAGGAGATGAGAAATGGAAACCAGCTTAAAAATGTTCAGCTCATCACAAAGCAAATGTAAAATGCAGCTTCTCATTTGTTTAAATCTTCCACAAGGAAAATATTCTTCAAAGCAACAGGCACAGGATTTCCAGTTCTATCTTAGGTAATAAGGAGTTTTTTACATATATTTATATATATATATATATTTTTTATCCTCACTTCCTTAACCAATCTTTTTACACCTGGGTTTTCAGTGTCCTGTGCAGCACTGACTGACAGCACAGATCTGACAGGAAGATCACTGAAGTCTAATCAGCTCTTTCACACTGAAGGGCTCCAGGCACTTGGGTCAGAGAAACTGCTTTTAACCATGTCTGAGTCACCCAGCTGTGATTTGTCCTATTGTTAAACAGCAAAATCCAGAGGAGCACCAGGCACCTGATCCCAAAACTGCCGTAAAATCAATCAGTTGGAGGGCAAGGAGTCCATCCATGTGTGGAGGATCTGCCTCACAAGTAAACTGTTCTTTATGAGCATCAGGAACTGCCCCAGCCCTGCCTGGATCACCTGCACAGGTGAGGTTAGCGAGGGGAGGAGCTGCTGGGCCTGGGTTTCCCTGCTCTGCTCCAGGAACTGCGCTGGGGGAGCCTCAGCAGGATCAGGGAATGCCAGCTCTGGGCACAGAACCTCAGGATCAGCCGTTTTCTCTGCAAAACAATTCCCACAGAATAGCTGGGAATGACTGCCAGAGACTCACACTCCCCAGAGTCACTGCTGCCCTTAGGATGACACAAACCTGGCTAAACAAGCCAGTGCTCTGTTCCCCCAGGGCTTGCAACAAGCCAGGGAGCTCCAAGCTGTGATTTCCCAGCATATCACGCTCCATGTGCACCTTCAGTGCTGTTTGCAGCAGGAAAATCCCACAGGTTCCTGCACTGCTGCCAAGTCACAGCTGCCACAGGAACCTTTATGACAAAGGGTGATGGAATTTGGAAGGGGCTGCTCAGGAGGTGGTGGAGTCACTGTCCCTGGAGGTGTTTAAAGGACTGGACGTGGCACTGAGTGCTCTGCTCTGGGTGGTGCTGGGTCACAGGTTGGACTTGACGATCCCAGAGGTGATCTGGGAATGATTTCTGTCATTCTGCCTCGTTTACATCCCACCTGCAGCACTGCTGGTGAACTGATCACTTGGATGAACTTCCACACAAGCATTCCACGGCGATTTTCCTGGAAAGAAATCTGTTCCATGAGGGCACAAGTCCAGCCCGGCTCTGCTCGGTGACCTCCAAGGCCAGGACACTTTGTGAACTCCTGTTCAAGCCCTCACACTGTGGGTTGTTGTTATGGAGAGCAGCAAAATCCTCCTGTGCAAACAACATGGATTCAGTGAGGTCCAACTCCAGCTTTGCACAGTTCCAGGGCGCTGTGACCAAGGACAAACACTCCAAAGTGCAGGGCCACGAACCCATCGGCCTTGGTGGACAACAAGCACTGGGTCCAGTAAAAAAATGACAACAAAGTACAACTATCACTGGGTGTGAAGTTCAACACCCAGAATCAAGGCAACACGTCTCTAAACAAAAACAACTGGCAGAGCTACGCATTCCCTCGCAAAATCCCTCGGGTGTCACACATCCTGTCAGCGTTGTCACCGAGCTGCTTTGCTTACAAAAGGTCACAGCTTCTGTCCTGTTTTGCAGAAAAATTTTCCGTTCAAGTGACAGAATCCTTCTTCCTCCGAAAGGGGGACTTGAGTCTTTTCCAGACGCTGCTTTTGGGCTTGGATTTCTTCTCCATGGCCATGACAGCCTCCTTCTCCTTCCTGCGGATCTCGCGCACCAGCGCGTGGAACACGTCGTCGATGTAGTAGCGGAAGGCGGCCGACGTCTCAAAGAAGGGGCAGTTGAATTCCCGAGCCAAGGCAGAGCCCTCCTCTTTGGACACCTGGAAAATGAGTGCACACCCTGGTCAGGGAGGCCAAACCCCAGGAGTCCATTCCTTTGTCTGTCCCTGCTTTGCTCACTTGGGCACCCCAAGCCCCAGGACAGGTCATTTCCACCCAGCTCCAAAGGTTGCTCTGCAAATCTGTTCTGCTTTCACTCATCGCTTCTCTGCCAACGCAAGAGACTCTCTGGACATTCACAAAAAATAAACTTCAAAGAATATTCCTTTTTTTGACCTAAGCCTACAAGCTGACACGAGCTGTCCTCAGCCCTGGTAGTTTGGTGAGTTAAGGAAGTTTCCTTCTCCTTGTCAAAAGCTGTTGTATTTGTCAAATTACTTCCCAGACCCAGGAAAAACCCTTTCTAAAGCTTTCTTGCTCCAAGCCCCATCCAACCTGGCCTTGAACACTCCAGGGATGGGGCAGACACAAATTCTCTGGGCACCCTGTGCCAGGGCCTCCCCACCCTCACAGGGAGGAATTTCTTCCAAATATCTCATCTAAACCTCCTCCTGTCAGTGTGAAGCCATTCTCCCTCATCATGTCACTCCATCCCTTGGGAACTGTCTCTCCCCGTGTTCCTTGTAGCTCCTTCAGGTCCTGGAAGGACACCCCAAAACCTTCTCTTCTCCAGGCTCAACATTTTGAGTTCCTTCAGCCTTTCCTCCCAGCAGAGCTGCTCCATCCCTCTGATGCCTCCTCTGGACTCTCTCCAGCAGCTCCAGGTCCTTCCCGTGCTGGGCCCAGGGCTGGGGCAGCTCTGCAGGTGGGGTCTCACCTGAGTGGGGCAGAGAGGCAGAATCCCCCTGCTCCTGCTGCCCCAGGGCATGGGGTGTTCTGTGTGCCAGCACGTGGCCAGGGCATGTCCAGCCTCACATCTACCAGCAAATCAGGAATTACAAACAAATCTAAGCCCAGCTGAACTTGAAGACTTCATTTCTGTGACAGCTACAGGCAGCTGCTTTTCACCACATCCCGTGAGAAACCCGCTCTCATCACGGAGACAAAACACAAAGAAAGGGACAAACCCCTCTGGTTTCACTGCATTTTCCAACAGGAACAGCTCCCAACAGAGGGCTCCCTGTGGCCTTTACCTGGCGCAGCTGGGTGAGGTCGGACTTGTTGCCCACCAGCACCACGGGGGTGTCGTCGGTGCGGCGCACGCGGTAAATGAGCTGCTTGAACTCGCGCACCTCGTGGAAGCTGCGCCGGTCGGTGATGGAGTAGCAGATGATGAAACCCTCGCCAGCCCTCATGTACTGGTCCCTCATGGCTGTGAACTCGGCCTACGAACAGACCGTGGCATTTTAGCTCCACAAATGTAACAACACAGTGCTTTTCTCACCACCTGAGATCCAAATCCGGCTGTGCAAACAACAGCAGCCCCAGCCCACAAGCCAGGAGCTGTTTGGGATGTCCCTCGAGACAGAAACCCCACTGAGATGTGATTTACCAGCCCACAGGTGCTGCTGGTTCACTGAGGGGGAAGCAGTGCCACAGCTCCAGTCAGGCACATGAAGCTCCTGAGGAGTGACACAGCTCAAACCCCCCAGTTTGGAAGAAGAGAGCGATTCTTTACGCAGGATTTCTGTTCCCCACACCTGGTCATTACAGGCTGCTTCACGTGCTCTCCATTCAGCTGGGATTACTCACATACCTGTCCTGCTGTGTCCAAAATATCCAGGTTGGCAGGTTCATCATCGATGCGTATCCGGATTTTATAGGCATCCTCTGTGGATTCCCAGGACATCAGAAAGATTGGGATACAAGCACAACACTCATCAGCCATCTGCTCACAAACAGAATGTTACACCACAGCCACCCACCCTGGCTGGAGCACTGGACTACCTCAGTCTGAGCTTTGTTTCAATTAAATTATGCTAAATTTCTAATTGTTCTGGTGTGATTTAACATTTCATGTGCAAAAATCATGTGCTGTTCCTGAGCCCACAGCCCAGAAATTCATTTTGGTCACCTCGGTGGGAAACACAGAGGAATAATGTTTTGTTTTTCTCAAAGCCAGAAAAGATCTGTGATCTTTTTTTGAACTGGTCACCAACAACTGCTGATTTCTTAGAAGACATAATAATACATACTAATAAAATATGGAAATCATTATATATGTAAGTTCTATCTATTACATATGTAAATGTAATTATACATGTAAATATTATTTATTATAAACACCATAGGAAAACAATCTGTACAAATATGTAAGTACACAAATATCCTGTCCCTCTCAGTCAGCACTCCCACACTTCAAGAACCCATTCTCAGCAAGAATTTGGCTTTTTTTCCCCGCACTTTTCCTTCCACTGGGTAACTGTTGGTTCAGGTTTCTCCTGAAGATGCTGCCAAAGTTCTATAGCACCAGAGTGAGCTGTTGAGCATTTTCATACCTCTCCATTTCTCAAACACTGAGAACAATTTGGCCTGACAAATGAACAGCAAAGAGCTGATCACAGCAGAGAGTCTGGATTTTGTGAACAGACAACTAAAAATGACTTAGCAGCAGTTTCAATCCCTGTCTGCCAACACATAGACAGAGACAGGGCATGCCCTGAACGGATGGATGGGAAAACAATCAAAGAGCTGAAACTCAGGATTCACATCCCACTCTCAGAACTCCCAAAAAACAGAAGCACAGAGAGGTTCAGGTTGGAAGGGACCACAGCAGATCACCTGCAGGGCCATCCCAGAGCACAGGGCACAGGATTGAGGCCAGGTGGGTCTGGGATATCCCCAGTGAGGAGGATCCACAGCCTCTCTGGGCTCTGCTCAGGGCTGGGCACTGCCCAGGGCACAAGTTCTGCCTCCTGTGCAGGGCAGATCCTGGGCTCAGCCCCTGCCTGTGGCTCTGGTGCCACTGCTGGGCCTGGAGCAGAGCCTGGCCCTGCTCTGCCCCTCCTGCACCCAGGGACAGCCAGGGATGGACAGGGACAGCCAGGGACAGGAAGGGACAGCCAGGGACAGAGAGGGACAGCCAGGGACAGCCAGGGACAGAGAGGGACAGCCAGGGACAGCTAGGGACAGCCAGGGACAGCCAGAGACAACCAGGGACATCCAGGGACAACCAGGGACAACCAGGGACAGGCAGAACCGAGGCCCCTCTCAGCTGGGGCTCCTCTCCAGGCTGAGCAGCCCCAGCTCCCTCAGCCTTTCCTGGGCAGGGACCCTCCGGGAGCTCCTGTCCCTGCTGTGCTGAGGATCCAGAGCTGGACACAGCACTCCAGAGGTGCCTCCAGGGCTGGGCAGAGGGGCAGCATCACTCCCTGACCTGCTGGGAATGCTCATCTTGATGAGTGATCAAAGATCAATCTACAGCCAGATTTAGAGATATTTTTGAATTGAATACTTTACAGCAATGGGCTGTAACAGCTTGAACTGCCAAGGGAATGAACAAAGAGAAAAGAGATTTCCCTCACCAATGGTGGGATCGTGGTCCTCTGGGAACCGGTGACTGATGAATTGCATGGTCATGGCTGCAATCAGAAATCAGGCGACAAGTGAGCAGCTCAGCTCCCAACTCCCCATGTCACACTGCCACCCCTCAGCCGCGGCACAAAACCAAACCCGGGCACCGGGGCTGCAATCGGCCCAGGGATGCTCCGCCCGTGCCCTCAGGCGGGACGAGCTCCAGGGACGCGGCCGGAGGCGGAAGGCGATGACCGGGACAGCCCGGGAGGGGTCGAGACAACCCGGAGGAACACCCCGGGATGGGCCGGGACACCTCGGGCGGAGCCGCGATGTCCCGGGAGGGGCCGGGACACCCGGCGGGGACACCCCGGGAGGGTCGGGGAGGGGTCGGGACACCTCGGGAGGGGCTCAGGACAAGGGTTTGCTCAGGGAACGCGGCTCCCCCCGGCCGCTGCCGAGCCGTGCCCCTCGGGCCGAGCCCCCCGCGCTGCCAGCGCCGCTCCCCGGGCCGGGCCCCCGCGGCGGCCGGCGGGTCCCGGGGCCGGAGGCGGCCGCAGCCCCGCACTCACCGCTCTTGCCGACGCCTCCCGCGCCCAGCATCACCAGTTTGTACTCGCGGGACTGTCCCGGGGCTCCGCCGCCCCCCGGGCGGGCTCCGGGATCCATCGCCGCCCCCTCGCCGCTGCCGCGGCCCCGCTCCCAGCGACACCGAAATGGCGGCGGCTCCTCCGCCACAACGCCCGGCCGGGCCCGCCCCGGCCTGGGCGCAGCGGGCGGGGCCCGACGGCGGCTCGGTGGAGACACGGGGACATGGCGGGCACCCTGAGGGGACGAAATGGGGACATGGCGGGCACCCTGAGGGGACAAAATGGGGACATGGCGGGGACCCTGAGGGGACAAAATGGGGACATGGCGGAGACCCTGAGGGGACATAATGGGGACATGGCGGAGACCCTGAGGGGACATGGCGGAGACCCTGAGGGGACATAATGGGGACATGGCGGAGACCCTGAGGGGACATAATGGGGACATGGCGGGGACCCTGAGGGGACATAATGGGGACATGGCGGGGACCCTGAGGGGACATGGCGGAGACCCTGAGGGGACATAATGGGGACATGGCGGAGACCCTGAGGGGACATAATGGGGACATGGCGGGAACCCTGAGGGGACACTGCGGGGGACACGGCACTGCCCGCTCCCACCCGGAGCACCCCCGGACCCGCACCCCCTCAGCCCCGGGACTCCCCTCCTGGATCTCGGGGCTTCTGTCATCTGAACCCTCTCCCAGCCCCAGGACCCTCCCCAAGGCCAGACCCCCTCTCCAGCCCGAATCCCCCTCCCAGCCCTGCAGCTCCTGCACCCCCGACCCTTGGGGTCCCCCCATCCCCGGACCCCCAAGGGCTCCACCAGCCCCGGAGCCTCCCCACAGCTCCCCGGCCCCAGGGCTCCCCCAGCCCCACATCCCCCCACTCCTACCATGGCCTGTGGCTCCAAACCTCACACAAAGCAGCAGCAGCAGCAGGAAGCAGAATATTTATACATTTATTTATAATGAAAGTATGGTTCTAATTATTTACAACACATTGGAAAGCCGAGGTTTGTACAGGTGAGCCATCCCGCCTGTCCCGGCTGCAGCGGTGACACAGCCCCTTCTCAAAACCACAGCTCCTGTCCCAAAAGCTGCCCAGTGCCTTGGAGCAGTCCCTGTGTCACTGCTCCGTGCAAGAATTCTGTCTGCACCAGCCCACCCCACTCAGCCCCCGGTGCAGTTCATTGTCCATAATAATCCAAAAACAACAGTCCAAAAACTCATTCCCAGGTTCTGCACATGAGGCAGGAGCTGCTGGAGCCAACTGCTGCCCTTTGAGAAACCACCGTGGAACCTTCTGGCTCTGGTGGAATCCAGTGAATGAGGGAAGAGGATAGGGGTAAGCCTCTGGAAAAGGAATTCCTGCTGGTTGGGAGCAATTCCTGGAGTGACCAGAAACAACTCAGTACCAGGGCCACAGTCCCAAGTCTACCTGGGACAAGGTGAACCTATCCAAAAACCTGAGCATCACCCCCACCCCAACATCTGGCTAGAATGAGAACTTGTGGGATTGGTAAAATCACGTTTCAAAATAAAACCAAGCCGAGTTACAGGAGACGTTTGAAGTAAAAGCTAAGAGTTTTCAAACTCTGATGCTCAAGTTTTTCATGACTCCTGGATGTTCCTTCCCTCTGATGAAAGTCCAAAATTGAGGCTGAGTCACCAGTAGATCACTGGGGCTGACAGCAGGAGCACTTCAAAAATGCAAATGCAGAGTGAAGTCAGTGTCACTGACTCTTCCCTTTAAGTTATCTGGGAAAAACAGGAAAAATGGCCCAAGAGGCTTCCCTGGTTCCTCTTTACAGCACTTCTTCTCCTTTGCACATGGGACTAGCCCCATCAGGATGCTATTCCAAATATTCCTTTGTAAAATTGACAAATACACTGCCAAAATGAGCATTTTAAAAACAATGGAGCCCTTCCAAGGGGAAAATTGGCTTCTGCAAATGTAAAAACAACATGTCTTTGCCAAGTTCGTTCTGGAATATACATGCATTATTGCTAGAGGGGAAAAACCAGATGAATGAAAACTCTTGTGCAGTTTTTATGGTGCCATCCAGAACGGCATCTGTTGTTTAGCTCGCTGTTGTGAGGATGGGTACTGGTACCCCAAACTCCAGCCCTGTGAAAAAGTACTTGCGTTTTTATGGCCACCGTGTTCCTCCTCTTCATCTGATGAATCTCCAGCATAGGCCACTAATCCAAAGCCCTTTTCTGCAGTTTTCATCTTCTTGGCTTGATGATCTAAGGAGGGGAAAACAAAACAAGCCCCCCCCCCAGCCCCCAAGAAGGAAAAAATAAAAACAAAACAAACAAAAAGAGATAAAATGCCCCAAAATGAGTTAATAATAATAAAAAAATAAAGATGTTAATTGTAAATTGTTAGTTGGACACCATTTTGAGGTCACAAGGCCAATGGTCATCCAAGGTCGAAGGCCACAGGAAACAGCACCAGCAACAGCCATGTGATCCATCAGAACCATGTAAGAGAACAGAGAAACAAGAAAGAAACACACAGAAAAGGTAAAGTTAGCAAATGGCTCTCAGCGAGGGCAATTTCACCGTTAAAGAGATCAACACGTCAAGAAAAGTAGAAATTTTGTTCAAAAGGAAGCTAACAGGAGAGCAATGTCTGGGAGCAAGACTGCAGAAGAACTACGGTTAACCAGGCTGGGTGATGTCCCTGCAGAGCTGAAAGCACTGAGCTGCCTGCAGAGTTAAACAACTGCATGTCTGACCAAGTTCAAACCCTTGCTGAGTGACAGCCCTAGGAAAGATGAAATCCTGACAGCACTTGTGTTGTCTGCAGCCAGAAATGTGTGCAAATCCCTGCCTGAGCAGAATTCCCCCCACGCTCCTCAGTGCCTCTGAGGGAGCTGCTCACAATGCAAAGCCTCACCTGTGCCACAAAACAACCCACCACATTCTGCGCTGCCTGATGGGTTGTAACTCCCTGTCTTTAGTCCCTCACTTAATTCAACTCCCCTCATTTCACACAGGTATTTATTACAGCTTTGACAAACAACCTGTGTGTATAACCACAGCAAGCATCGGTGATTTTAGAGCAGTGCAATGTCACCTGCTTTGCACCTCAACGAAGAACAGTCAAAAAAAATCACCAGTTTAGACACGTGTTAAAACCAGCACCAGCTCATTTGGGGAAAGAAACTGGACTTAGAAAGGTGTTTGGGAAAGGACACTGGACTTGCAAGGGCATTTGACCTGTTGCACTCACCATGGTTGCCTGGTAAAGACCCCGCACCTTTCCTTTCTTCTGATTCCGATTTCATTCCAGTGACAGGAAAAGCTGGCGGAGGCATCAACTGCCTGTTTAAAGCGATATTTTTTGCTTTTTATACCAAGCTAAGAGTCAAAAGGTAATAAAAACCAAATTTCTAACTCAGCACTTGGCCTGAGGAGTTGAACTTTAAATCCCCTGACTCATCCAGTGACTGGACTGGAGTGAATGATGGACCCTACCCAGAGCTCTGCAAGACCTGTCCTCTCCCAACATTCTTATTTCCAAATGGGCAGGAATGGATTGGAAATGGATGGATGGATGGACGGATGATGGATGGATGGATGATAGATGGATGGATGATGGATGGATGGACGGATGATGGATGGATGGATGATAGATGGATGGATGATGGATGGATGGACGGATGATGGATGGATGGATGATAGATGGATGGATGATGGATGGATGGACGGATGATGGATGGATGGATGATAGATGGATGGATGATGGATGGATGGACGGATGATGGATGGATGGATGATAGATGGATGGATGATGGATGGATGGACGGATGATGGATGGATGGATGATAGATGGATGGATGATGGATGGATGGACGGATGATGGATGGATGGATGATAGATGGATGGATGATGGATGGATGGACGGATGATGGATGGATGGATGATAGATGGATGGATGATGGATGGATGGACGGATGATGGATGGATGGATGATAGATGGATGGATGATGGATGGATGGACGGATGATGGATGGATGGATGATAGATGGATGGATGATGGATGGATGGACGGATGATGGATGGATGGATGATAGATGGATGGATGATGGATGGATGGACGGATGATGGATGGATGGATGATAGATGGATGGATGATGGATGGATGGACGGATGATGGATGGATGGATGATAGATGGATGGATGATGGATGGATGGACGGATGATGGATGGATGGATGATAGATGGATGGATGATGGATGGATGGACGGATGATGGATGGATGGATGATAGATGGATGGATGATGGATGGATGGACGGATGATGGATGGATGGATGATAGATGGATGGATGATGGATGGATGGAGGGATGATGGATGGATGATGGATGGATGGATGATTAGAGGGGTAAGGAAGTGGCTGGATTTAAGTCCAAGGACTTACAGCCACAGCTCAATGTTCAAGATGAAACCAGTATCAACAGGTGGCCCTTGAGGGTTTTGCTGGGGCCAGTACAATGGAAAATGTGACAGTGGCAAAACACCAGAGCCACACAAAGACTTAGGGAGGAGTGGAAATGAAGGTATTTTCATTCTGTAGCATCAAAAGGTAACCCTTGCATCCCTTCTCTTTAAAAAAACCCAACCCAAAATACAAAAAAAACCAAAACACACACACACATGAACAATCACCAAGTCACAGAAGAGAATGTGAAAAACATGAAATAGGCTTTGCATCAGAACCAGGAGAGCCTGGCCATGATTTCCTCACTCACCTGTCCCTCTCTCTCTCTTTTCCTGAGGAACTTGCTGGCTTCGACGCGGCTCCCTCGATTTCACTCTGACTGGAGAAGCCTGTACCTAAATTAGTCATATGAATGGGTCCATGCTATGAGCAGAAAAACACACGGCATTAGCAAATCTACAACTACAACAAAAGCTACAGCTCCTTAATGATACTGTTAGGAAACCCAACCTTTCAGAGCATATGGCCAACTAGCAGAAAGAACCTCTTATCACCACTGCTATACAAAATATACACTGCTTTCTCCTAAAAATACTGAGGGCAGCGTGGTAGGAAACACGCCTGAGCACCACTCTGGGAGACTCCTCACCACCTACTCCACCTTGTCAGTAGTTCAGGACAATAAAGAGAGCTGCTCCC